TTTAGCTAGATCATTTTGTTAAGGATAAAAGAGACTTCTTAAAAAAAATACTTATTTGGCTGTGCTGGGTCTTAGTTGTAGCACACGGGATCTTCTATCTTCATTGTGGCATGTGAAACCTTTAGTTATGGCATGTGAACTTTTAGTTGCAGCATGTGGGATCTAGTTCTCTGACCAGGAATTGAACGCACACCCCCTTCACTGGGAGAAGTGAGTCATAGCCACTGGACCACCAGGGAAGTCCCTGAAAGAGACTTTTAAGTATGTTTTTATAAGTCTTAGGGAAAGAGCCTTTAGCAAGGAAAAGTTGACCATCATGATGAATTCTGATCTTTTATTCACAACTCCCTGTCTTCTGCAATGTCCTTACTCCCCAAAGTCACAAGAGACTTGAAGAAAGAGAAGTTCCCTTTGACTCAAAACAAACTGGGGTCAAACTTTTGGCTGTGCCTGACACCCACAAGGAAGCACTGCTGAGAAATTATGCCCACTCTGACTGCCTCCTCCTTTCTCCTACCAGACTCTCACTGACCTCCATCCTTCCCAGCCTGGGCCTCTCGTGAGTTCCCGCCTGGATTTCAAGCATACCACTGAAGATGCAGACCAATGTCTAGCCTGAATACAGCCCTGGGAACTACTTTCACCCCTTCCGAAACGCCTTCCTCTTTCTTACCCCCAAGTTTCCCCTCCCTGTTACCTGGCTAGCTGCTGTGCATGCTCAAGCTCTCGGCATAGGCAACCTTCCCTCCTTGTGCCTCTATGTAACATCGATCATAATAGATGGTGAATTCCCACCCACAACCCTTCCTTCTCCCAACAGGCTAGGAGCTCTGTGAAGGTAGGTACCACATCTTGCTCCCTGGGGATCCCCAGCACCCTAACACAAAGTTGGGCTCACTAATTGTGTGCTTTTATGAATGAATGAATACATAGGCATGTTTCTTACCCCTTTTCATCCTGAATCTCCTCACGGAGGAAGAAGACCCAGGCAAATTAGCAGACTTAGGAGCAGAAATCTAAGAGTCACTTTAGGTTATGTGCACGCTCTCTCTCAAGTCTAACCTCCTCTTGCTGCAGATTTAGCCTTTGAGCAGCCTGCAAACTTGGAGGCAGTAACGACTACATCATAATAACTATCTATTAAACTTCAAAGGGAGAAAAACTTAAAACATGAATGGAGCTAATTGCTTGCTGCCACAAATTGGTTCCTGGGCATTCTAAATGGTTTAATAGTTGGTCTAGATACCATTGCAATAGGTGCCATATATAAATACAAACACAGAGATAACTGACAGGCTATGACCTCATCAAGTCACAGGTATAGCCTAAAGGGGAGAATTTTACCTGTTCAGTGTGTTTGTCATAATTATCTGTCACAAAGTAGCCAAAAATGACTCTCTTGTTTAACAATTACATTACCTAAAGACTGGAGTCAAGGTGAAAGAAATTAGACAATTACTATTTTGGGCTGGGTGTCAGGATGCCTGGGGGTCACGCCAGGCTCTGGAGCAGCCAGCTGTGTGCCCAGGCCAGTCACCTGTCTCCATTACTCAACACACTTGTAATGATGCTTCGGCTCATGCATTCACTTATTCATTAATTCAATACATATTTATTAAGCACCTACTCTATTCCTGGCACAGGGCTAACTACTGAGAGTACCGAGAGGCAATAAGACTTACGCTGCCGACCTTATCACAGTCCATTAGGAAGGTGATGCTGAGAAACTGAAGCCCAGGGCATAATGATGCTGTGGAGGTATGTCCTGGGACTATAGGGGGACAGTGGAGAAGGTAAGTGGACTGCTGGAGAAGATGGGTGAAATCTTGAGACGGGGGAGGTCTTTGAATTGGGTTTTAAATGATTAGCAGGAGTTTGCCAGGTAGAGAAGAACAGAATAATCATTCAAAGTAACAGGAGCATGGTATTAAAAACATGAAAAAGAAATGTTTAGGGAACAGTGAGTGTCAGGTGGATGCAGTTAGACTTATAAGGAACTAATGAGGAGGGTCAGTTAATCTTGAAGGCCTGTCTGGGTATTTTCTGGTAGGCTCTAATGCAGTGGTTCTCAAACTTGAGTGCACACCGGCATTACCTGGAAGGCTAGTTAGCACAGATTGCTGGGCTCTTCCCCTGTTCTGAGGTGGGGTCTGAGAACTGGCATCTCTAATAAGCTCTCAGCTATGGCAGATGACCTGGGAGGGAAGATGGGTTCAGCTGCATCTTGTCCTGATAGCATGATGCTACCCAAGTCATGTCACCTCCCTGCACCCTAGTCTCAGTTTCCTCCTTGGTGGGACTGGGGATGTGGACACTGCCTGGCAGCCTTTTGTCTGCCAGCTGCATTAAGCAAAAGAATGTGTGTGAGCTCTTGGAATATATCAAGCGCTAGACAGTTGCTCATACTTAGGCCACCTGACGTGAAGAGCCGATTCATTGGAAAAGACCCTAAGCTGGGAAAGACAGAAGGCAGGAAAAGAAGGGGATGACAGAGAACAAGATGGTTGAATGGCATCACTGACTCAGTGGACATGAGTTTGAGTAAGATCCGAGAGATGGTGAAAGACAGGGAAGCTTGGAGTGCTGCAGTCCATGGGACCACAGAGTCAGACATGACTGAGCGACTGAACAACAAGACAGTTGGTGAAAAATATGTTTATGTACACACACACAGACACATGTGTATCTTTTTAGTACTTCTTTTAGCTACCGAAAGCTCCCTAAATCCCTTAACGAATCCAAGAGATCTGTCAAACCTGTTGTATGGTTACTCTGTGTGTGTGGGTGTGTGCATGTATGTGTGTACATGTGTGTGCATGTGAAGGAGAGAGAGAGACCTCAAGACACAGGAGTGAGATAGAGTAGAATAGATAGAGTGGGAAAAGGAGGCCAATGTTAATTCCATTTTTATCTTTGAGTTCTGGTCTAGTTTCTGATAACATCTTAGAAGATCTATAAATTGAAACAGATCTGGATTTAGGAATCTTCAGCTAGGAATTTCTCCCTCCTGTCAAATAAAAATCTTTCCTGGGACACTTAGGGACTTCCTGGGTTCTCTGAACTATTAGCACTGTTCTCCACAAGCCCAGAAATAGGCAGTATTGATAAGGCTCAGACTGGATGCACCCACACTTTTAACAAATGAGTGTCTAGCTAGTTGGAGGCAACCTTTGCTTACCCTTGGTGTAATTCTCCACCTTTAAGGTATTGGGGCTTCCTAGGTGGCACTAGAGGTAAAGAACCCACCTCCCAATGCAGGAAATGCAGGAGACATGGGTTCAATCCCTGGGTCAAGAAGATCTCCTAGAGTGGGGCATGGCAACCCACTCCAGCATTCTTGCCTGGAGAATCCCATGGAGAGAGGAACCTGATAGCTACAGTCCATAGGGTCTCAAAGAGTCAAACACAACTGAAGCAACTTGGCATAGCATACTAGGGTATTGACTGGGCAGGTTGAAAGAGCTCCTTTAACTAAACATGACTGAAGTTTTCCTTTCATCAGGAAGGGCATAGAGGCTGTAATATGTTATTCTGGAGTGCGTTGGCAGGTACACCCCGGAACGGCAGGCTATCAGCTTACACACAAGGGAACAATTACCCGGGTGGCATGGTTAATCACAGGCACTTCACCATGGAAAAAGAAAAATAATACCCTTCCCATCTCATCCCACGGAAAAGAAAGGAGACATCTACCAATTTGTAAGAGGATAATTTCCTAATTATCCCATGAAGGTTGTTATTTCTGTTAAGTCCTTAAATCAGGTTGAGGAGGGTGAAATCTGATCCTTCCTTTAGTGATGAAAAGTTATTGCAGGATTTGGTTTTCACACAGTGTCTCCCACAGCTGAAGGAAGAATTTACTAATCTCAACCAGGGTAGCCTTGGAGTCAGCTGGTGTGGGCAGAGGAAGGTCCACAGTGGAGAAGGGGAGCTGGGGCATTTCAGGTTGGTCCAACATGATTGTTTAATTACTTGGAAAACCTTTCTCCTGAGTGTGAGGAGGCCTCTGCAGAATACATGACTCATAGCATATTAACTTCTGAATGTTTTAGAAATGAAGCTTGCCTCAGTTTTCAGATACCATTAAATCCCCCTCAAGGCATTTTACGAAAAAAAGGAGGGGTGTTTTGGCGGTGATTATCAAACCAGAACCAATCCCCAGCCACACACAGGGCACGCCCAGAATGTTGTCTACTCTTCAGGGAAAGGAACTAACATTTCTGGAGCACCCATTGCATGTTCCAGAATTTTTTTCTCCCACCCTTTGCTTCCAGAATGGGGAGTTCACCGGGCCACTGCTCCACTGGCAGAGCTCGGCTCCTCTGCGTTTCCCTCTGTCCCTCTCTGACAGCGGAAGGCCAACAGGCAGGAGACAGGGAAACAGAAAGGTCAAGGGAAGAACGTGGAAGAATGGGAGTGGGAAAGAAAACTTGGCATCACCTGGATGTGGAGAAGGGCTGGCCTTGAGGGAGCGCCAGGGCTGGTGCCAGGAAGAATCGCCAAGCGGGTGAAATGTGGCTTTGTACTCACTCTCTCTGGTTCTAGAATGCCCTCCCTCCACCCCTGGCATCCAGGCATTATTAGCTCAGCAACTATTTATTAAGAGCCTCCTAAGTTTAGGTACCGTAACGGGCACTGGGGATATGGCAGTGAACAATCAAACCAAGCCCCCCTCAAACAGCCTACATCCTAGAGGTTTCTATGCGGTGGTTTCAGGTAGTCTTGGGCTTCAGGAAGTCCCTATTAGGGCACCTCCTTACTGTCCCTGTTTACACGCACACGCCCTGCTCCCTGCCTCGCAGCCCTCTCTTGTGATCACGTGCGCACAGGTCTACGCACACGCACGGATACACGCGCACACGCACGGATACACGCGCACACACCCGCGTACGCACCCACCCTGTGGGGCCAAGGGCGCGGCGCGGAGGTGCGGGCAGTAGACGCGCGCGTGCGCCCAGGGGCCGCTTATCCCGAGGCAGCCTCTTTGGGTCCCCTGCACCATGCGGGCGGGGCCAGAAGGAGGCCGGCGCGGACCGGAGCCCGGGGACGTGATTCGCGACCGGCCGATCCCCTCCGCTCTCACAGTCGGGCTCCACGCTTCGGGCAGGTGGGCAGCGCCCCCAGGGTCCCGGGGTCCCGCTCCCGCTCCCTTTTCAGCGATTCCCTCTGGGTGCCCAGGTGGGAGGAGAGGACAGGCGCGCGCCCGAGCCGCGGGTTTGCGCAAGATGCGAGGGGAAAACAGTTATCAAGCGCTTTGGGAACAGCCTCGGCCCTGGATCCGTGGCAGAAACTTGGACTCCGGGCCCTGAAACCAGGACGAGGACACTGTCAGGAGGTGCGGGCCTGGCCCTCGCGGCTGATCCATTAGCTGCTGCTTCTTTCAGGGGCGTCTGAGTCGGTGGTTAATTTCCCACCGGGTCAGTCCCCGCGGTGTCTGCTCACAAACACGCTGGTTTCTTCCTGGGGCTCCTCTCTGAGCTACGGATCTGACTCCTTACCTGGCCACCTTTGTTTCCTCGGGCCAGTCGGCACTTGTGAGAAGTTCTCCTTAGGCCACTCCTACCTCCCCATCCTCTTGAGGAGAGGGAAAAGAGTGGCAGGGCAGGAGGAGGGATCCCCCCTCCCTGGCTGGGACCCCTGGCTTGGTTCAGAAGCGGTCAAGTTGGAGGGTATCCCATCCTGTTCCTACGTGGTCAGGGGGAGCCCTGCTTCCCCGGGGGAATGGGCCCCAGATAGGCTCCTCCTGCAGCCCCTGTGGATCAAGGTCAACAGCAGGTGATTCACACACAGCCTAGTTCTCCCTCCTTGCAGGGAGAAGAGAACTTGGTGAACCTGAGTTGGAGTCACCTACCAGGGAGTTTGGGGGAGAATTGCCATCATTACCTGCCTATTAGCCCTTGCCCCTGGAATCAGCACCTTTTACAGGGACAGTTAGACATGTATCATCATCCCCATTTCACAGGAGAAGAGAGCGACACTTGGGTGGTTAAGTGCCTTGTTGAAGTTCACTAATATGGGAGGCAAACTAGAACAAACTAGACGACCTTCAACTGGTTTTATTACTGATCAGAATTCATTTTCCTGGTTCTTTAAAGCAATGCTAGTTTTGGCAGTTAGGATGCACTCCTGCTCCAGACATGCCCAGTTCACCTCTGCCCTAGAGTGAGTCCTTCTTCCTCCTAGACCTCTCTCAGTTTCCCCAGCTTGCAGTGCCACTCTCCCTTCCACCAGTGCAACTCCTACACAGCCGTCAGGGCCCAGCTAAGAAACCCTTTCCTGTGCCAGCCTTTCCACTCCCTCTAGCTCTCACCCATCTCCCTTTACTCCATGTGCCAGTGTATACAGCCCGGGGCCATAAAATCTAACCTTCATTATTTCATTGCCTTTTCTGATTCTCTCATTCTGTCATTTTCATCTGTCTTATTCCATCAGTTGGGTGGTCTCCCTAAGGGCAGGGACTGTGGCCTAGGCACTTGCTTTACATACCCCGTGGTTTCCAGCAGGGTCCTGGGCAACAAGTTGCACCCGGTGTCTCCTGCATGCATGCTAAGTTGCTTCAGTTGTGTCCTACTCTCTGTGACCCCGTGGACTGTAGCCTGGCAGTCTCCTCTGTCCATGTGATTCTCCAGGCAAGAATACTGGAGTGGGTTGCCATGTCCTCCTCCAGGGGATCTTTCTAACCCAGGGATCAAACCCCTGACTCCTGCATTGCAGGCAGATTCTTTGCCACTGTGGCACCAGGGAAGCCCACGCCCTGTGTCTCTTGTTTGGCTGATTGACCAGATACACTGTAAAGCTGGTCAAAGGTGGGCACAGGAGCTTCTGTTGCGAGCCTTTGAGGGGTGGTATTACTGGGCTTCCAGCCATTAATCAGCTATCTGCAACTCCCCCTCATTGAGTGGCTTGCCCGCCTGGTTCCTCCCGCCCATCAGGAAAGATTGCACCTGGATTACCTGAGAGGGAAAGACAGAGCTTAATTGTATTCTCTGTTCACATCAGGATATCCAAGGACTGCTTAGACCAGATGCTTCTTTAACAATGCCCTTGGTATGCAGTGATCGAGGATACGTCAATGAAATACAAACAGTCTAGATTCATGACATGAAAGATCTGATCTAAATTGAAACAGGGGGCTTCCCTGATAACTCAGTTGGTAAAGAATCCGCTTGCAATCCAGAAGACCCCAGTGTGATTGCTGGGTTGGGAAGATCCCCTACAGAAGAGAAAGGCTACCCACTCCAGTATTCTGGCCTGGAGAATTCCATGAACTGTATAGTCCATGGGGTCGAAAAGAGTCAGATATGACTGAGTGACTTTCACTTTCAGTTTCAAATTAGAACAAATAAACAAACACCAGAAGGTGAATGTTTCTTTGAAGGAGGAATTCTGTGTTTAATGTCAAGGTGGGGGTTTGAGATCGTTCAAGTGCATGTCTGAGGCCAGGTCTTTTCCCCTGTTACCCTCTGTGCGTGTATTATTCTTGTAGTTGATATCATGTTTTCACATCTATCATCTTGTTTATTCCTCACAAAACTCTGAGAGGGAATAATAGTAATCACAATGTTTATAAAATGTCTATAATTATTGAACAACTGCTGTGTGCTGGGTACCATTCTAAGGACTTTATGTGGGTTAAGTCATTTGTTCCTTCCCATTTTACAGATGCAGAAACTGAGGCACTGAGACTGCCAGCAACGTGCAGTGGTGCGAATTGTTCCCAAGGCAGAAGTGAATCAAGATTCTTTGATGATGAGAGCTCCATTGAAAGAAAAAAGAGGCACTAAGTGAGGAGACTGACATTAAACACCTACTCTGCCAGGTAAGGCTGCTCAGAGCTTTGTGGGCACTTTCTCACCAGATCTTCACAGTTACACATCAGGTTATTGTGTCTGCGCTGTGACCTGCCCCCACATTTGAAGAAACACGGCCTCATGAGGTCAGCTGGCTTGCCGCAGGCACCTGGCTAGTGTGTGGCTGATCCAGGACCTGACGCTAGGTCTGCGGACTCACGCCCATGTTCTCTGTGCCCCATGTCAAGTGTTTGGATGGCTTGGCCTTCTCTGGCTCTTTGTTTCTCAAGAAGAAGGGTGGGGGACAACGTTTATTTCACTGGCTGGGTGGTGAGATCGTTATCACCCTTACAAAGCAAGTATTAACTCTCTAATTGTACATGGCACTGAGCAGAGCAATGAACTATTTTGTACACAAAAATAATTAAGTAAAGCCCACAGGGAGGAATTCTGCCCTCTGGGAACAAAGAATCCCCATGAGTGAGGGTGTCAGGGTAGCCCGAAGAGCCAGCGTCCTAGCACACATTCTCCTTGGCAAAAGTGTGTCCTGGCTGACAAAAAGAAGTGGCAGAGGGGTGTGTGGGGTGGCTTCCAAACCCATCACCGCTTCTGGGAAGTACCTCTGAGTGGTCAAGACTTTGGAAGCAGATAAAGGTGGGTTTGAAGCCTTCTTAGTAGCTGTGTAAGCTTGGACCAGTTCTGTGCCCTCTTCAAGCTTCATTTCCCATCTATGGAAGTGGACTGAACAGGTATGCTTCTGTCAAATGAGATGGTATAGATAATGCACTTAGCACAGTGCCCCACACAGAGTAAGCATGTAATCATCAATAGCTCTTGTTTCAGCTGTTGGGTAGGTGTCTTGTTCCCAGAGTGGATTTTAAGGGTGAAGGGAAGATTCGTTTTCCTAGTGGAATGGGGGACTTTGGACAGCACAGCAGAGGCGCCCCTTCAGTGGTCCAGGGCTCGCGGCTGTCACAGGCGGCTTGGCCTTTTGTTTCCCCCTCACTCCTTCTCCTGAGACAGCGGGGAGAAGGCGGTGGGGCTGGCCTTTCTGGGGCAGCCCCTCAAGACTCCTATTCAATGGTGGGTCTTTAGTTCTTCATTCGGGAGAGCCATGAAGCTTTCTAGGGGACAGGAAGTACACCTGGTGAGCGGTACACAGTAGGAATTCAGTAAGTGCTGACTGCCTGGGGTTTCTGGGGTCCAGTCTCCCCAGACTCACAGAGGGGGCTGCGGCCCAGGCAGTACTTGCTAAGGAGTAAAGGACAGAGGGTAAAGCGCATCTGCGTGCGAGGGGCCGCCATGCCATGCCAGATGGGCCACTCTGCCTGCAGCCTGCGCGAGTCTCCGGAATGCAGGCCCTTTGCTCACCCGGAGCTGGGCCAAGAGCGACCCAGGGTGCACCGTTGCAGAAAATCCCTTTTGTTTCTACCTGCCAGAGCCCCCCGCCCAGCACTGGCTTCCTGCTTAATGGCCCGTTCGGGGTGGGGAGGCGGGGGAAATGTGCAGAACTCGGGGAGAAAGAGATTAAACTCACAATAAAACCAAACCCAAACATCACCGCCTTCCCTCTCGTCCTCTGCAGCTCTGACCCTGAGCTGTCTCTCAGCCAGTTTCCCTCCCAGGCAAATAATATTTATTCCAGGAGGCCCTGACACGCGGGCCAGAACAAGACAATGCTTGATTGTTCTTCCTCTCCCCTGCGGCAGGCGATGCGCTGGAGGAGAGAGCACGGAAAGGCAAAGGAGCTGCCCCCGCCGCTCCCAGCGGGACCGGCTCTGGGAGTTGTCAAAACAGGCCACGATCAGGGCTGGGGAGGGGTGCCGGCCAGATTAGTGCGGCTGCTCTCGAAGTTTCACTCTTTTACCCCAGTTCCTGGCAGCTGTGGCCACTTAAACAGCTTTGGCTTCCATTAAACAGGAGAGTCATTAAGTCATGGAGCTTACTGAAGCTCTAAAGGGCCCAGTAGTCATCCCTCGGTGAAAAGTGCCAATTCATTGCTTGGGAGATAACAAACCTGGAGACTGTGACTAAGTCAGAGGTGAGCAGCTCCAGGCCCGGATTGACGGCTCACCCCAGCGTGACCCCGCGCTGAGAACCAGCCTCGTGTGCTGGTGGGAAGAGGTGGGTGACCACTTGGAGGGAGTTGGACTGCTGGGTTCCCCAGCTGCTCAGCTGTCGTTTGGGCTAGAAAGATCCAGAAATTTCTCCCGTGGTTACTAATTTTTATTAATCAGGGCTGACACAGAGTGTGTTGTCCTGAAGTGTATCCCCCACCTGAATCAGGCCACCACCATCAGGGGCTGGACCAGGGAGTTAGTCTGCTTCCCCCACGCCCCCAACCCTTGACATTAGGGATTTTGCCTCATCTGCTGCGCCTTTGAACAGTCCCTGGCATGGTGCTGGTAGAACATGTACAGGAAGGAGGGAAGACAAGTGAGAAGCCCAGGGCCACCTGTTTTACCTCCTTTGGGCTGGAGGCCACTTGTCACTGGAGGTGACAAGTGACTTGTCATTGACTGGAAGTGACCATGCACAGGAGCTGCAGTGGAGTCCTTCCCAGCATATTCAACCTTTC